ATAAAATAAATACAAATAAGAATAAAATAAAATAAAATAATAAAAAAAATTATGAAAGTGGAGGAAACCCATGGTAATACCGTCGCTTACGCCAGTTGAACGTTGTTTACCGCAAAGCAAAACTATACCGTCGTCAAAAAAGAATGCCTCGCCACTATCTGGGCTGTACAGCACTTCAAGCATTATCTACATGGCCCCAAATTCGATTTGTATACCGATAACTTAGCCTTCACTTGGTTGAAAAATTGGCTGCAACCGAAAGGAAGAATCGCCCATTGGATCTTTGCGCTATCTGAGTACGATTACAATATCATCCACAAACAAGGGCGTCTCAACGCCAACGCAGACGCTTTATCCTGCATCAAGTACTAAGCAAGAGAAAATACACAGGAACTCGGATATGCAGCAAGATTGCGAAACCTTTTGGAAATGGATACGAATAATTACAATCAAATAATCGAATATTTAATTAACCACACTTTTCCTCAAGATTGGACGAGCGAGCAACGGCGACAATTACAGCAACAAGCGAATCATTACATCGTACAAGACAATTTATTGTTCAAGCGAAACAAGGACGGCAACCCATTGCGGGTAATATTGAAGGACGACGTAACAAAAATCTTATACAACATGCATAGTGTGCCGAATGCAGGACATTTCAGCATAAAATCGACAATAGACAGGACAAGGCAGCGATATTTCTGGCCCACGATGGGTACAGATGTGAGGAACTATGTAAAGACTTGTGACGTGTGCCAACGCCAAGGCAAGCCTACAAGAACCAAAGAATTACGACCTATCAAAGTAGGGCAGGGGTTTGATTGGTTAGGAATAGATATCGTGGGACCTTTGAAACCAACGTTTACGATGAAAAGATATATCATAGTAGCCACGGACTATTTCTCCAAGTGGCCGGAAGCGAGGGCAATAGAAAAAGTGGATGCGATAACAGTCACATGGTTCCTATACGACAAGATTATATGCTGTCACGGATATTCGCGAGAAATACTGTTCAATAGAGGAACGGTATTCATCAGCCAGGTAGTAGCAAACCTGGTGGATATAATGGGAGCACACATAGGCTTACGTTTTTGTACCACTCACAAACCAATGGACTAATGGAGTGGTTCAATCAGACGTTGTGCAGAGTCCTGATGAAGTGTGTTGGAGAAACAGCATATGACTGGGACGTGTTGATACCCCCGGCACTTTTTGCATACCGAACCATCAAGAACAGAATGACAAAACATGAACCCTTTTATTTACTTTACGGTCGTGCCCCTACCTTACCCATAGAACTTGACGTCATCACTTGGCCAGTTGCGGAGATTGACAAAAATCAGTACGAGAACCTGATAAATAGAAGGGTCAGCGAAATTATAGGGGCATTTGCAGACAATAAAATCAAGACCGCTGGAAACATAAAAGACGTCCAAACAAGACAGAAGAGAGTCCACGATAGGGGAATTAGAGTAATGACGTACAAAATCGGTGATATGGTACTGGAATATCGTTCAGATCTACAAAATGTACACGGCGACAAGTTTCGAAACAGGTGGACGGGACCTTACTTCATCCATCGTGTCCTGGACAATGAATCGTACATATTATGAACCACAAGTGGAAAAATACGCAACGATCGACCTGTACACGGGAGCCGTTTAAAGTCCTACAAACAAAGAGAGATTTTATTTCACGTGAGATGACAGGAGATAATAACTGTGCATGAGGACACCTGAACTTAAGAGCAAAGCATGAAATTTCCTCGCCACCACTGAAATATTCAACATGACCCACCTACAATTTCCTGAAGGTTTTCTCAAGCGAGTCAACAGATTGCGTAGAGAACTAAATGAAATTTTCAGAGAGGCACAACTCATGATAGACGGCACTGGAGCATATTTGATGGTGGAAGAATGCGAGATAAACCTGGTGGAAGGGTGCAAAATAAACCTGGTAGAACCCTCGAATAACGAAGGAGCATCACAAGAGAATGATGTATTGCTCCCATATGCCTTGGATGTGGTAGCCGCACTGGCAGAAATGTATGACCTGACAGGAGCTATGCTTGATCATGACGTAGCAGGGCTGCTTTCAGTGGCCACGGATCCAGCTGTTCCGAAGGGGCAACGAGTGAATGCTTACAGAAGACTCAGAAATTATGTTCATGCCTCCCAGAAAAACCAAACAGCTGCATCAATAAAGCAGGAGTTACAAGGGCACTCTCACTAAAATGGGGCACGAACCTACCAGATAGTGCAGAGGATAAGAATACTCACACAAGAAGTCAGGATGTTACAACCAAAGAACCTCCAGCTTGTAACTCCCGATTGGATCTATAAACTTCCAAGACAAGAATTCGAGAGACTGGTGAGAATGTGCAGTGAGTTGAACCTACAGGTGAGGAACGATCTGTGGATTATAGAGATGGGGTCACAGAAGCTCCCCTTTGAAGGAGAAAATATTTGAGGTGGCTCGAATGCCACAGGGAATGCTGTACGAGGATTGCGGAAGGTTACGAAGGTCACAAGGGAGAATAGAAAGATGACAGTGACACCTGGATGAGT